CCTCCTTCATCTACCAAGCTGAGGCGGCCATGGGCCATCAAGTCAAATAAAGCAGCATTACTTTTGGTAATGTCGTCTTTCGTGAGGGAGTCGACTGGCATTCGGCCGTGCGGTACCCACCGCACTCGACCGTGTGCTCGCTCGAGCGCCTCACATATGATCGCCAGGTCCAGGGCCGTTCTCCTGTCTTTGGCGCTCGCGTTCCCCTCCTTCTGCATCGTATCGTAGATGGACCTCGCGTCCACCACGTGGACTTGGCCCTCACGGGCCCCCAGCGCACAATCTGTCCTTAGGACAGTCGTGAAGGGCCCGGAGGCCCTCCGACAGTCAGGGATGTCCACATCCCTGAAGATCACGTCACGGTACATGACCTGCAGAAACTCGACCTCGGCGACAGCTGCGGATAGCGCCTGGTTCTCCCCGGCCAGCGTCGAAGGTACTTTGCGACGAAGTTTGCACGACCGCCAGCCCAGCAGTGAAGCCTTCACCGTCTGGTTGCTCATGATGGCCCGGTCGGTCGCCAGGACCATCCAGGCTCCCTGGGTGGGGTCCTCCGGCAGGCCTCTCTCGTCGCTCATGCTGGCGTTTGCACCCACTCCCCCGGCGTCCGAGAAGGACACGAAGGCGAAGGACTCCGGGTCAAGCTTCCAAACCGTCAGGCCCCTCGAGGCCGTGGCTTTGAGGTGGCGCACCAGTTTGTTGGCCAGCTGCACGTCCTGGATCGTGGGCGCTCTCAGCCGGCTGGCCAGGATGCTGGCGATGCCAGCTGCCTCTGGCCTCGCCTCCCGCCCAACCCAGTTGAACTTATAGACCAGGGACCTGAGGGAGGTGAACTCGTCATGCTCCAGGGGGGCGCCCTTGCACCCCATCCGGCCCTTGGCGACGGACAGGGACCGGATCTCCTCAAGTATGTATTTCTCCTGGTCCACCTGGACCTTCTGGGGATGGAAGGTGAGCCTGCGGCCGGCGAAGTCCACCGGACCTCCGCGACAGTCACGGTACTTGCCGAAGGTGAAGCGCGCCTCAAGAGTTTTTCGAAGCCACGCCCGGGACTCCGGGGACGAGCTAGCAATCATGAAGTCGTCAACCTCCAATAGCATCATATTCTGGATGTCACCGCCCGGGCCGTAGCGAATCCACCAGCACGGTTCCAGGAGGCTCCTCACGAATCCGTGCTGTTGCAGATACTTCACCACGGTTCGCCTCCACGCCATCGGAGCGTCATCAAGGCCATACACGTTGACCAGGAGACGGATGAGGGATCCTGGGAGGACATCCACCCCCTCACACGGTTCAACGTATATTTCACCTTGCGCCCGCTTCATGGGATCTGACTGACAAAACGCGTTCTTGACATCAGCGATGTCCCCCCACATGGACAGGTTCATCATGATTTGAAGAAACATCATGATGGACGACGTCTGCGGTGTGGGGGCGTACACCGCCAGCGCTCCGGAGTCGGGGTCCCGGTGCCCGTGCACGCACCAGCGGGATTTCGCGACCGGATCGACGAAAGTGCCCTCCACCGGCTTCCACCTCCGCACCATCCTCGATGAGATGATGCGGTCGGGGTGAAGCTTCCTGACCCTGTCCGTCTGCTTGGGGGAAACGACCTCGACAGCTCCAGACTGCATCATGGCCCCCCATTCTTTCTTGTCAGAGGCGTCGAACTTGGCCCGCTCATCGGGACTGAGCTTCTTTAAACTGACCTCGCCCCCTCGGCCCGCCGCGAAGACTCCACCGTCACCCTCTCTCGTTTCCTCGGCCCGGTCCTCGCGGACTGACCGCACTGACAAACCCTCGGACCCCGGAAACACCCAGAAGTCCTCCGACGGAGGGCCCTCGACCCCGGGGGGGGATCTCGAGCGGGGGCGTCCTCTACTCTCGAAGTCTCTCGCAATCTCGGACACGGAGCGTGAGCGCTCGTGCCCCCTGATCATCCCTGGCCTGGCCGGGTCCGCCGGGGAGGAGCCGGGAGGAGGAGAGGAGGAGGCCTGGACACCACCACCACCGGAGGGGGGGGAGGAGGAGTTCCCTTCATTCCCTTCCCCTGTGGCGGGCGGCCGGACGCCCTCGTCCGCCGCCTCGTCGAGGCGTGCCCGCTTCGTCTCGGGCGGACTGCTCGCCGCCTGGCGAGAGGCCTCGGACGAACGGATGCACCAGGGAACGTCCTCGGGCTGCGCCAGTCGGCGAGCCTTCTCACCTCGAGGAGGGTCGAGGCCTGGAGGTGGAGTGGGCGGAGGAGACGGAGGAAGAGACGAGGGGAGGGAACCAACCGGAGAGGGAGCCGGAGGAGAGGGGGCGGGTTCGAGAGGAGGAGTAGACGCGTCTCTCGACTCGGCCGTGGCCCCCGGGACCTCGAGACTGTCCGACCCCCGTGGAGACGGGAGCGCCGTCGGAGGCTCCGACCGGAGCTCCTCGGTCTCTGGGATCGAGTGGAGCCTCGAGGGGGGCTCGGCCCTAGACGAGCCTCCCCCAGCCTGACCGGTCGCCCTCTCGGGGCAGGAGGCCCGGTCTCCAAGACGGGGGTGGGAGGCCGGAACCCGGCCTCCTCCGCTGGTTCGGGTCCCCCGCCAGACACTCGCGGTCCCGGGTCCGCTTGAGGCTGAGACGGTTCGTCCCAAGCCTCGTCCGGGGGGGGCCCCTCTCTCATGACGTCGACGGCGGTGACCCGACGAGTCTGGGCAGCCTGCAGCAGTTGCTGCCACTGTGGGTCCTGGGCCAGCTGCAGCCCGTACTCCTCTTCTGGACTCGCCAGCCTGAGCTGCTCCACGCTGCACTTCCAAAGACGAGCCCTCACCGCGACCCACACCGTCGACCCGCCTTCGGCCAGCACCACGACCCCGGGACCCGTCCAACCGTCCCGCCTGCGACCTAAAGCGTCAGCACGGGAGGAGGTCCTAGAGAAATGCCTCCAAATGAAGACCCACTGGCCCGGGGTGAAAGTCCGGGTCCCCGGGGCCTTGGCTCTCGAGGCGCGGCTGATCTTCTCGCGGGACGTGGTCTCCATGGCGAGCCGCCGGGCGGCCGCCCGGACCTCCTGGGCCCTGGAGAACTCGGCCCCTGCCTCATCTTGCTCTGAGGCGGGCCTGACGGAGTCTTGCCACCCCGGCAACCCCTTGTGGTCGTCTGACAAAATATCATGGGGCAGCCTGGGGTTCTCTCCGAAGACCAGCTGAAGGGGGGAGAAGCCCCCTCTGTGCCAGTACCTATTTTTGTGAGCCACTAACTCCGTCACCAGATCATCGAGCTCCTGAAGATTCCCGGGAAGAGAGGAGCCCGCGTCGACCTCGGCCTTCACACGCTCCTTCACCCAACCCCCATGTCGTTCGACCCTGCCGTTCTGCCAGGGGGAATCCGCGTCGCACACGTGCTGGCAGATCCCCCACTGCTCCATCCCTCGGGCGAACCTGGAGCCGAACTCGGAACCCCCGTCCGAGATCACGAAGTGGGGGGCCCCAAACGGACGGATCCAGGATCGGAGAAACTTGGACCAAACCGAGGCGGACTGGGCATTGGGCACGCGGACGGCGACCTGGAGGTTGGATCCGTGATCCACGATGTTCAGGAAGGGGTGGGTAACCCCCTGGAAATCGAGGTAAAACAGGTCGACCCCCACGATATGGTTGAATCGGAAGGCGCGTGGCATCGCCACCCTGCGATGCACGCCGGTCCTGGCTCTCTCAGCACACTCCGAGCACCTAAACCCCTTGCCCACCCACCGGAGGAGATGCCTCTTGGCCCCCCCGGCCCGGAGCACCCTGATGAATTTACGGGTGTCTGGGTGGCCCATGTTGACGTGGAGCTTGTACAGGAGTCGTTTTTCCTCTTCCCGGGGCTCGGGTTCCTCGGGACCTGGGCCCGGATGGGCCTTGGCGCTCGGTCCCCTGGTCTCTGGCTCATCCCCACTGTCGTCGGATTCTGCTTCCGCCGCGTCCTCGCCTTCCGCCGCCTCGTCTTCTCCCGGAAACGCACCCTCGGAGAGCCCGGCCCACGTGGGTCGGAGATGTCTCGACGCCCCACTCCACTGCTCCGCCACGGCTCTCGCCACGAGCTGAACGAACTGTGGCGGGTAGCGAGACGCCTTAGTGGTGACCGAGCCTCCCTCCAGAACGGCGTGCTGATGATCTCCTGAGCACAGCTTGCCTTCCAAAAGCCTCAGGAGGTGAGGGTGGTTAGACATGATCCCGGTAGGCTTCTTGTTCAGTCCTCGATCGTCAACTCTCATGCCAAACCTACACATGTCGATCCTCAATCTTTTTACCCCCGGGAGCCCGAGAATCGTTCGCACCACCTCCGTGGTCCAGGAGGACGCGTACAAAGGATGCTCGAAGGCGAAGAAGCGACCCCGAGACACCTGATGATCCGCGATCTCCATGCAGAGGATAAGATCGCGGAGACCTTCCTGGGCTAACCGATGCCAATCGCCGGGAGCCATCCGATCGCGATTCAGCTGGTTGATAGCTGAGAACGCTCGGCACTCGGAACACAGCCAGATCATCTCGGGTTCCTCGAGCCGGATCCTTCTCCAGAGTTCCCCGACGTCCCGACGGCGAGAGGAGTCCCAACCCAACTTGCGGTCCCAGCTCGCTCGAGCACCGATGGGAGCCCCGGCTTTGTCGACCGCCGGCGCTATGCGGGGGGGGGAGAAGACCTCGATGAAGGCCGTCCTGGCCCGTCGACCCGAGACGAAGTCCCCGGAGGAACCTTCTCCAACTCGATTCGTCTCTCCACCGGAAGCTCTGTCGGCGAGGGCTCTTCTCACTCGGGACCCACACGCGACCTCATGGTCATCGTTGTACCTGTCACCGTCTAACCATTCAAGCTCAAAAGCCGGGAGTCCGCTCGGAACTTCCCGATTCTCGTTGGGAGACTCGCTGCCTTTGCGAGGTGCGCTCGCGGCGCCAGAAAGTGAACAACTGCAGGCGGTGAAGCACGCAGCGAGGCTCAGCCGTGCAGCAGCGCCAGCCCATGGCTGGCTCAGATGAGGCCCGGCAGTCCGGCGTCGGACAGCACCTCCCACGTCTCGTCCACCTGCTCCGGGATCGTCGGGAGGGGCTCCGAGACCGTCCCCGTCGTGGTGGGCCCCGTCATGATCGTAGTCGTGGTTGTCGGGCTCTGCTGATACGGTCCGCCGCTGCCGCTCGGCCCGTCCTCCGGGGGAGGAGGCTCCCACATCGGGGGGGGAGGTGGCTCTCCACTCCCCGACGCCGCACTTCCGCTCGCCTGGCTGAGCTGCTGGTGATACGTCTGGACCGCCGCCGCCACCGCCTGAGGGTCGTTCAGCACGTTGACGATCCCCGCCACGGCATTTCCCACCTGGACCATCATCTGGCCCAGCTGCCCGACGGACGCCTCGAGGTTGGAGATGGACGCCTGCATGGTGTTCACCTGTTCGTGCACCACGTCGAGGGACTCCCCGAGGTCCTCCATCACCGCCAGCGTCCCCTTGATGTGCGTGATGCCCTGGTAGATCTGCTGCAGGCCCTCGAGTGTCTCGGTGGGCTGGTTCTGGGCGGCCATCACCACTTCGGACATGCGGTCCACCACCTCCTGCACCCGGCCGAACTGCCTCAGTCCCTCCGGGGGCGTCTGCAGGTGCCACTGCAGCCCCTGGAGCAGCCCGCTCAGGCTGTTCACCACCGTCAGCGCTGCTCCCCCTGCTCTGAACTCCGGGTCGCTCTGCAGGATCTCGACCGCCCTCTGGGCTGAGGCTGCCGCCGCCCGGGCTGCCTCGGCCACCGTCGGCGGTTGGGAGGGGCCCCCTGGAGCCATGGCCGCGGCCGGGATCCAGGTGAGCCTCTCCCTGCAGGCCGCGCACTTGCTGCCGCTGCCCCACTGGTTGCCGAAGAACTTCACTCTGTCCCTCGGGTGGGGACAACCCGCGGCAGGAGCTGCCGCCGATGCTGCCGCTGGCCTCGGGGGAGGCTTGCTCGCCGCGGGACCCGTCAGGGGGGGCAGGTGCTCCGGCCCTGGGGCGATCGCCGCCGCCGCCGCCGCCGCCGCCGCCGCGGCCTGGGGTCCCGTCGGGAGTCCGCTGGGGGCCGGCGGCCACCCCGCTGCGGCGGCCTGGGCCGCGGCCCAGGGCATCGGGTCGGCTGGAGGCTGCCCTGGCGCCGCTGGCTGTCCCTGAGGGAACAGCCCGAATGGGGCGGGCCGGTCCGGCGGCGGAGGTCCCGGTGGGAGAGGCGGCTGTGACAGGCCCGCTGCCACCCACGCCGGCACCGTCGCAGCTGCCTGCGGGACGGCCGTGGCCTCTGGCCCCGCCGATGGGGAGCTCCCCGCCTGCGGCCCGACGCCGTCGAACTGCGTGAGAGTAGACTGCTCGCTGTCCGACTCTGATTGTGCCTGGGCCCGGCGGGCCTCGAACAGCGCCTCCGTCGCCTGCTTGGCGCCAGGCTCCTTCTTCTTGCCGGCCTGGACCGTCGCCACGAGGACGGCCGCGGCCACGGTGAGTACGCGCGTCGCCAGCATCACTCGAAAGGGTGGGCTGGTCGGAGAACTGAGATCTTGGACAGATGCCTGAACTGAGGCTGTGGCTGGAGCCGAAACGTTCTACGGACATCTGCTGTCGGAAGGGATCGAGAGCTCCGGAGTCCTGGTTGCTGGACCCGTTCTCCTTGGCCTTAGCTTTCCCCCTTGATCTTAAGCCCCGGACTGTCCTGGAGCGAGCCCGCTGAGCCCAAGACTTGATAGGCTCGATCACGCTCTGAACGACCCCGACGATCAGCACGCATGCCGCTAGAACCCCGAGCACGAGCATCGCCCATAGCAGGTCCCCGATGTCCCTGGTCTCCCTGATGTCCCGGGCCCCCTGGTACCTCCTGGTCCGAGATCTCCTTGGAGCCCTGACGCTGCTTCTCAAGAGACCCCAGACGACGATGAGAGGGATGATGTAATCCAGCAAGGTGCCCTGGTCCGACATCTTCTGCACCGGACGCCCAGCCAGCACAAAAGAGGAAGGAGACAGAAAAGAATACTTCCGGAGGGCTGACTCCGGGACTGTGCACGGGCCTGAAACTCGGCCGACGATGTCGACCATTCGATGCCCTGAGCCGAGCCGGGTGAGGTTCACCTCCGGCTTCGGCGTGTCTAGCTTCATGGTATTGTCGGGCAGATTGATCACTGCCCCGAGAAACTCCAGCAAATTCACGCTCAGGATGTGGGGCACTGCGTCCAGGAGGACGGTGGTCTCCACCACTCCGAACGCTTCCCCTAGGCAGAGTGGAAACAGCACCGAGGCAATCACCTTCGCTGGACCGCCGACTCCGTGGGCGGCCCGAGGCTTGCGATGCTGCGTCGGGATCAGCACATAGCACATGTCCAGCTCTGCCAAGGCCTGAGACTCCCGGTTGAGAGCCTCGAGGCCCACCAAGTCGCTCGCCGCCCCCGGGTCGACCAGCCCCTGGTTGGCCCTCGTCGTCAGGTAGACCTCCGAGGACAGCTCCTGCTCGGCCTCTTGCCAACAGGGAAAGTTGGCCGAGACACTGGGCCCCACGTAGCCGTCGAACGTGTACGCCGAGAGGCTCCTGCTCTTCAGGTTGTCGCGGTCCCTGGGCTTGTCCGCTGCCGGTGGGTTGGGACACTCGTTGCCCCAGTGCCCCTTCTCCCGACACAGTCGACAGCGGGTCACCTTCATCAGCTGCTGCTGGGACAGTCTGCCTCGGCCTCCTGGTCCGCGGCCACGACCGCGTCCCTTGGCACCTCCTCGGCCACCAGCCCGGAGACCCGAGCGGAGAGGAGGGCGAGAAGGCGTAGGTGCCGCACGGTCACCTCCTGGCTTGCCGCGAAAGTACTCTCGGTCCTTGCGGGCCGCCCGCTTCAGGTCCTTATTCTGCTTCCAGGACCGGTCGTTGGCCAGCAGGTTGAGCGTCTCCTCGACCTCGTCCTCGCAGAGATCCATGTCCTCGATTTCGGCCAGCAGGGCCTCGGTATCTATGTCCCCGTCTTCGTCGAAGTAGTCGAAGCCCTCGTCACCGTCGTCTGACTCGAGGATGGGATCGCCCGAACCGTCGACCGGACCAGAGGGGTGGAGGAAGGAGGGAGACTGAGAGGCATCAGCACCTACGCTGGGAAAAGAGTCGAGCCCTACGTCATCCTCACGGGCCATCATGGCCCCCGAGCTCGCTCGCCCAGGGAGCAGTCGCTCGGAGCCCGTGGCGTCCATCTGCCTGAGCGCCCAGGCCACATTCGCGTAGTCGAGGTGGCCGTGGGTCAGCGTCCTCAAGTTCTGCATGCCCTGCGCCGAGAGCCCGGCGCCCTCCTCGAGGAACAGGCCCTTGAGCTTTGGCGACATCCACAGGTCGTGGCCCTCAGCCTCCAGGAGTTGAGCCTCCCGCCTAGAGACGTATTGGCTGAGAGACTCCTTGCTCTCCCGGGCGGCTTCGAAGAGAGCCTTGCGCCCGGACCTCCTCAATTCATCTCCTTCTCGCTCGCCGATCATCAGGTCCATCCTGGCCAACAGCGTCTCCAGCCAGGTGCTGGACGTCAGCTCGTGATCTGGGATGTCCTCGAATCGCGCCTGCATGGACCAGTCGAAGAGCTTCATGAAACGCTCCGAGCGTCTCCACAGCGCGACGTCCGTGTTGGAGTTCCAGCGGCGGAGAGCTCTCCGCCACTGGCGGTAGTGAGTCCAGCCTGGCCAGGCCGGGGGGTCGGTGTAGTCGCCCCTGGAGCTTCCGCCCCATGCGCCCTGCCAGGACTGAGACCTCCAGTCGTCACTCCACCAGCCGCTGGACCAGCTCGACCCCACGCCGGCGTCGCCCGTCTTCCCGCGGTCGTCCTGCCAGCCGCCAGCCCAGCCGCGGCCCGCGCCTCCGGCCTGAGCTTGGCCGTCTGGCGCTGCCGCCTCGGCCGCCGCCGCCGCTGCTGCCGGCTCCCCGGCCTGGCGGCCGCGACCGCTGCTCCAGGGGTCGCTGCCGGCGGCCTGCCAGGGGTCGCCGTCGTAGGCCTTGTCGTTCCAGCCAGTCCAGCCGCCGGCTGGCTCCGCTGTACTCGCCGTACTACGCCGGGCCTCCGCCGCGGTCATAGTCTCCGTCACTATGCTTGCGGCGATGGCCCTGATCTGCTCTAGGGAGATGCTGACCGTGCTGCCAGGTGCCGCGCTTCCCGAAGCGCCCCCACCGCCTGGCTGCTCTTCTCCCGTCTGTTCTCCTGTCTGCTCGCCATTCCCTGTCTCCCCCTGGGATGACATTGCCGTGGATCCCCTCACACGCCCAGCGTCTGAGCGCGGCCGTGGCGGAGGCACGAGAGCACCGGTGGAGCCTACCCTTCACGGCTGCTCCCCGGCACCCATGGCCGCCCGCCTGGACCGCGCTCCGCTACCAACTGTGGCAGCAGGAGGATTGGGCAGATGTTTTTCCCTTGAGCCAACACAGGCGAATCACGGGTACAGACCTGACTCGCACACCACATGCTGAACCTAGACTGACAAATCTGGCATCCTTCCACATGCTGACATGGGCGGCGCGGACGCATGTGGACACCGCCACTGGGTTCTTCGGTGGAGCTCCCTATGGGGCCACGAAACGTGTGAGGGGTGGGCCGACGTTGGTGGCGCGGAGTCATGTGGACACCGCCGCTGGGGCCTTCGGTGGAGCTCTTTATATGGCCACCAAGCGTGTGAGGAATGAGCCGAAATGGGTCGCGCGCACGCATGTGGACACCGCCACTGGGGCCTTCGGTGGAGCTCCCTATGGGGCCACGAAGCGTGTGAGGGGTGTCCCGAAATGGGTGGCGCCGACGCATGTGGACACCGCCACTGGAGCCTTCGGTGGAGCTCCCAATGGGGCCACGAAACGTGTGAGGGGTGTGCTGACATGGGCGGCGCCGACGCATGTGGACACACCCCGTGGGGCCTTCGGTGGAGCTCCCTGTGGGGCCACGAAACGTGCGAGTGGCGTGCCGAAATGGGTCGCGCGGACGCATGTGGACACCGCCACTGGGGCCTTCGGTGGAGCTCCCTCTGGGGCCACGAAGCGTGTGAGGAATGAACCGAACTGGGTTGCGCGGACGCATGTGGACACCGCCACTGGGGCCTTCGGTGGAGCTCCCAATGGGGCCACGAAACGTGTGAGGGGTGTGCTGACATGGGCGGCGCCGACGCATGTGGACACCGCCACTGGGGCCTTCGGTGGAGCTCCCTGTGGGGCCACGAAACGTGTGAGGACTGTGCCGAAATGGGTGGCGCCGACGCATGTGGACACCGCCACTGGGGCGGTGGAGCTCCCTCTGGGGCCACGAAGCGTGTGAGGGGTGTCCCGAAATGGGTG